TGCCGTGGCGTTTAACCTCACCGCCAGTTGTCTCCCTCTGGATCGAGCCACGGGGCTGAGAGTGACGGTGGGCTTGGTCAGGGCTGTCTTCCTCAGGAGCTCTCAGGGACTCCGTTCAGCCCTGGTTGACCCTAGAGCTACCTACAACTTACCTATCCCCTCGCCTTGCCGGTAGCAATGGGCAGGTGTACCTACTAATGCACAAGTAGTTACACTACACCCTCGCTGCTCTCCTATGCCCTGTGCAAAGCCTAATTTCAAGGTTTCCTCACAATAACCTATATCCTCCCTACTTCCATGACCACCCTGCTTGTCTCCTAATACCGCTGTAGGCTGAGGACGAGGTGAATAAACTGCAGAAGAAGATGCAGCAGCTTGAGAATGACTTGGACCAAGTTCAAGAGTCTCTGCTTACCGCTAATAACCAACTGGAGGATAAGGACAAGGCCCTCTCTAACGTAAGTGCTTCCCTGGGCACCCTCATATGCCCACTAACATTAACAGTTTCTCCTAGGCTGAGGACGAGGTGAACAAGCTGCAGAAGAAGCTGCAGCAGTTGGAGAACGATTTTGATCAGGTTCAGGAGGCGCTGCTCTTGGCTAATAACAACGCCGTCGAGAAGGACAAGGCCCTGTCCAATGTAAGTAGGTAGGCATGGGGCCACAGCCCATACACTCATTCCCTTGATGTTTCTCCTAGACCGAGGAGGAGATTCGTACCACGCACAAGAAGATGCAGCAGGTGGAGAATGAACTCGACCAGGTTCAGGAGCAGCTCTCTTTGGCTAATACTAAGCTTGAGGAGAAAGAAAAGGCTTTGCAGAATGTAAGTAGGGACGCTGTCCGCTGCTGCCGCCGCTGCTGGAATTCAACGCTTATTCACGCTCTTTTTTTTTCTTTTCTTTTCTTTTTTGTGTGCCAATTACGTAGGCCGAGGAGGAGGTTCACAACCTTCAGAAGAGGATGCAACAACTTGAGAACGACCTTGACCAGGTGCAGGAATCGCTACTGAAGGCTAACACCCAGCTCGAGGAGAAGGACAAGGCTCTATCTAACGTAAGTGGGGCGTGGCCATGGCTGGGGCCCGACCTCACCCCTCTCTCAGCTTGCCCGTCCACGAGCTACTAATGACAGCCACGCTAGGCTGTGCATGACCTCCACAAACAGCCCACTTAGCCTCCATCATGCACTCATGTGCCGAAAGAGGATTCTATCCTTCCCTAAAAGCCTTAGTGCCCAAACCCTATATAAATAAAGCACTTTCCGCACATGCGCGATGCGGTGCGCCTTCTTCCGTGACTGTCCTTTTCGAGGTGAACCACAGCCACATCGCTACCACCATTACCGGCGCGTGACCACCTCTCCTGGTACCATAAGAAGCACGAGACCCCAGGCCTTCTCATCTGTTAGGTTCTACTAACTATAACCCTTAACCTCAAGGACTACATTAGACCACCTTACTCGAGCATCAAACACCCAACAATCACTCGAAGGTTTTGAGTCAGTCTTTTTTTTAACCTATTATGTATACATTTAGGCCTCAAGACATTTTGATCCCCCCTTATATCACCCATCTCAACAGCCTATCATGGCATCATTTTATCCCATGTACCACCGTATATATACTGCCTCAATTTTTTACTCGCAGCAGACAATGCCTCGGCGCCAGATCATTTTTATAGTAATTTTGTATTTTTTTCTACCCCAGAAAGCAATCATTTTTTTTGTCCCTCATCTGCCCGAAAGTTATTAGACCTGACCGTCCACACCACCGATTGTACTGAAGAATCGACTCGTTCCCTTTTATGTCAGGGAAGTAGACTATCGCATGGAAACTTTCCTCCATACTTCATGATGAGGCTTCCCCTCGACCCTCTGTCACGTGGAGAATTGATTTATATATATATATATATATATATATATATATATATATATATATATATATATATATATATATATAATCAATATATATATATATATATATATATATATATATATATATATATATATAATATAATTATTTTTGTACAATTCTCTACATTTTTAGTTTTGTTATAATACGTGACCCTTTATTACTTTAGTTCTTAACAAATTAGCACATTTTGAACACTTTAGTTCCTAGTAAATCTAGTTGGCCTGCATACATAGTTCATAGTAATTAAGCTTAGCTGGCCTGTGCACTTAGTTCCTAGCAAATCTAGTTGATCCCTTACAATAGTTTCAACACAAATTTCATTAGTAAACACGATTTAGCAGTTAGGCATCTCAAAGTCCTTTTCAACGTTAATTTTCTTTATTTAGTGTGTCCTATCCTTTTCGTTTTTTCCATTTAGCTTGTTTAATTTGTCTTCGTAGACTAGAGCATTACTAAAACGTAACGATGACGCGTCTTGGTATCGCTAGAAACTTATGAAATATTTGTATTTATCGCCAAGACGTTGAAATTTGGGTGGCAAACTCACTCCAACTAACTCCGCCGCCGCCGCCTGGGTTCTCCCTCCCGCGAACGTTACCAGCGATCATTCCAGTCTGCGAACACTTTATTGTAATTGGCTGCTTGTCGTCCATTGGATTCGCCGCCGCGTTCGCCACGACCCCACAACAGGTGAATGGTTTCCACTGTGGTTGTTTCATATAATATCAATATAATATCACCGCCTAATTCAAATAAACATGTCTACTGACGGAAGTGATTAAATAAATCTTATTCTAAACACATCATGTTAATTTTCATCATTTTTATCTAATCCGTTTACTGTTTTAGTTGCGAGTTCCATAATCACCTTACAGAGCCAGTATCACCGCGATCACTAATACCATCACCACCGTAGTCGCCCTCAACACCACCACCATCACCAGCATCACAAGACCACCAGCATCACCAGACCACCAGCATCACCAGACCACCAGCATCACCAGACCACCAGCATCACCAGACCACCAGCATCACCAGACCACCAGCATTACCAGACCACCACCATCACCAGACCACCACCATCACCAGACCACCAGCATTACCAGACCACCAGCATCACCTGACCACCAACATCACCAGCATCACAAGACCACCAGCATCACCAGACCACCACCATCACCAGACCACCATCATCACCAGATCACCACCATCACCAGACCACCACCATCACCAGACCACCACCATCACCAGACCACCACCATCACCTAAACATTACCAGCATCATCACAACATTCCCAGATTACCACCAGCATTATTGATATCACCAGCAAAACACCATAACACCAACATCACCATAACTATCTCCAAGTTATGGTGACACTATTTTCCCCCTCTACATGTATATTCACAAAAGCTTTCTTTATCTTTCAGCCACTAATGGTGCATACAGCATAACAACTTATTTATGTGCATTATTTCTATGATTTTATTACCATTTCTCTTTATTTATATTTATTTTAGACTTATGCTTCATTAAACAATTGCATGGCAACTTCCCTAGGCCTTATACCTTATTAATTTGCCAACATAAATTTATTTATTTTTTCGCTTCGAGTTGATTAATCCAAATGACACAAGGGCATTAGCAACACCTAAGCTATGCAAATATCAAACAAATTCTTGCAGCAATGTACTACTGAAAGAATGTACCTCACTCTTAATTAACTGGTCAACAATCATTGAACCTCCCAGCCAGCACAATCAAGGAGCTGATAGCCTACCGATCTGGACCAGCGGACGAGGAAGGCGCCTACTGGGTGAGTGTTGCTTCTGTTTGAGTCTGTTGTGGCCTGACTTGGCGTAGTTCACGATCTGGGTTAATTAATCTGGGCGGTGACATGCCTTGGTCACGTTCACGACCAGAGTTGATCTAGTTGAACAAGCCTTGTCACGGGTCACAACAGAATCTATTGTACTCTGGCTAAAAGTGGGTATGTAATAGAAAAAAATGGACAAAAATAGGTGAAAGTAACTAAAAAGCTACAGGGAAATAAATATATAATTTAGAGGAAGGATAAAATAGGGGAAATTATACTTACAACCTGAATGGAATGGTTTAGTATGAAAAGAAAAATGAGTCGTAGATAAGGAAATATTTATTAACAGATGCTAAATCAATGAAGAATTAATTTACAAGGGGAATAGAATGAATTTCGGTTCAGCTATTAGGTGAAGATGTTTTTTAATTTTGTTTAAAATATCGGAATAAGGTAAAATTATTTACATTTAAGGGGAGAGGGGAAGGATACGCGAAAAACATCATTTACAGGACCAGTAAAATTAATATGAAAAAGACCCATTATAGAATATAGTTGTAGTACATTTTATAAAACATAATTTTCATCGCCGTACATGCTGTAAAAAATTACAGTATGAAGTAAGAAATATGACGACATTTCAATTCTCTACAAACACGTACAAAATTCAGTTATAAAATAAACACCAAAATTGCAATAACTCCCGTTGTTATAATTTAAAATAATGTTTCTGGTATTCAAAAGTATAATTTTGATCCATTTTTGGGGGTTATAGATTTATAAAATATTATCCGGTTCTAGCTAAAAATTGTCTCCAAGCTTTATCAAGGCAACCCTAACGAGGACTCCTAGCATCAGGTATCGTGCTGTTAGCAACGCAAGTGTTCTTAAAAGCTGTTTTGAAAACACTAAGAATTTCAAGATTTCGAAACAAATTTCGTTTTAAAGACGAGAGAGCGTCTAAGAATAGCATGGTAGGTATGAGAGCCACAGGCGTGGCTAGGAGCCATAAATGGAACACGGAGCAGGCTGGCACCAACCCCCTCAGTAGCCTCTCGACAAGCCTCCCGGCGCCACCTCATGCTTCCACATGGACTCCCGTTTATCCCTAGCCTGGCAAGCCAGCCTCGCCTCCTCCAACCATTAAAAAAAAAGTGATCTAGACGTGGCGAGTGTTAAAGAGATCAGAGACGAGAGTTTGAACTTGGCGCGGCTGGAGGAGGGTTGGCAGGCTGCCACCAGTTGGCGCTGGTGTCGCTCCCGAGTGTAAACAGTGGTGGAAACATGGACTCCAGTTCTCGTAGTGACAACCTTAGCTCGAACTGCTCTCATTCCTCCCCGTTAGACAGTGCTAATAACAATACGATGCAGAATGGGACTGCTAGCCCCTCGGGCGACTCAGAGGATGCGGAAGATTTGGAAAGTGTCGATGTTGGTGGGGTGAACAGGACCTCAGTGAGTGGTGCGATCCCCGTCGGTAGTGTTGGTAATATTACTGTCACATCAGCTGACACGGACAACAATGCGAACTCGGGTGTTACCGTCCAGAATGACGCCGACGTGGACAAAGAACTCGAAGAACTTGCCAAACTCAGATGCCAAAGTGTAGCCACGGAGGTGGTAGCGGCGAGATACAAGCGCCGATGCTCAGACTACCCAGGGTTCGCCTTCGGGTCTTCCATTTTCAGCTCCAATACCATGATGAAGTTTAGCATTATCAAGAATGAACTGCACAACATCATGAATGTGCAGTTGAAAAGGGTTAGTATGGCACGCGTTCGTAGGGGCGTTACCTCGACACTAACCATAAGGTGCCACACTAACTATCATTTTGCTTTCGGAATATTTCCCGATGTGGTGTTGGGATTGTGGCACGCAGCATCCAAGGAGCTGATCTCAGGTCCCAGCCTTATCCCTGCTGGTGATGACGATGGTGGCGATTCTTATAAAAGGGTGTGAGGTTGGCATATGGCAATGCTGAAGCTTCGGTGGCCAGGATCCGTAGAGTTGCCTGCGTCGTCGCCTACCCTTCTACCTAACCCCCTTGACTCCGTGACTCACTAGTTATATATATTTCTGAATACGCATCCTGACAGCCACGAAGCTTCCACCGTCACCAACTCACGCACAACTATGCAAGCGTTCCAACTAAACCTACGTAGGATACATGTACATACAATTACATACCAAAGCAAAACTACACACGTGTGCACTCACGCTCGTATGTATGTATGTATGTATGTATGTATGTATGTATGTATGTATGTATGTATGTATGTGCATGCATGCAAAAGAGTTGAAGCTCAACCTCCATTCACTCAGGAACGCACATAAACGCATTCGTATGTTAACATAAACACAGTGATCCCAAACTTTTTCTCTTACCACCAATTCTATGCCCCCCCAACCCCATACCATCCACCCGCACAAACCCTTCCTCCATCAGCCCGTTCTCGCGAGCGTTCCCAACGTCAAGAAACTGCGGTACTAATGTGCCCTCACTTTAGTGCCTGTGTGTGTGGGGGGGACTAAAGTCCCCACACCACCCCCCTCCCCCCAACACACCACCCCCCCCCCCCCCACACACCACCCCCCTCCCCCCAACACCACCACCCCCCTCCCCCCCACACACACATCCCCCCTCCCCCCAACACACATCCCCCCTCCCCCCCCAACACACACCATCCCCCATCTCCTCACCCCCCACAAACACCCACCTCCTCACCTCCCCCCACAAACACACTCTTCCCCACACACACTCCTTCCCCCCACACACACTCTTCCCCCACACACACTCTTCCCCACCACACACACTCTTCCCCCACACACACACTTCTCCCCACACACACTCTTCCCCCCACACACACACTCCCCACCAACACACCACACACACTCCCCCCCCACACACACTCTTCCCCCCACACACACTCTTCCCCCACACACACTCTTCCCCCCCACACACACTCTTCCCCCACACACACTCTTCCCCCCACACACACTTCCCCCCCCCACACACTCTTCCCCCCACACACTCTTCCCCCCCCACACACTCTTCCCCCCCACACACACTCTTCCCCACCACACACTTTCCCCCCACACACACTCTTTCTTCCCCCCCCACACACACTCTTCCCCACCCACACACACTCTTCCCCCCCCACACACACTCTTCCCCCCCCACACACACTTCCCCCCCACCACACACTCTTTCCCCCCCACACACACACACTCCCCCCCCACACACACTCTTCCCCCCCCACACACACTCTTCCCCCCCAACACACACTCCTCCCCACCAACACACACTCTTCTCCCCCCCAACACACACTCTTCCCCCCCCCACACACACTCTTCCCCCCCCCACACACTCCTCCCCCCCCCACACACACTCTTCCCCCCCACCACTCTTCCCCCCCCCACTCACACTCTTCCCCCCCCCAGACACACTCTTCCCCCCCCACACACACTCTTCCCCCCCCCCACCACACACTCTTTCCCCCCCCCCACACACACTCTTCCCCCCCCCCCCCACACACACTCTTCCCCCCCCCACACACACTCTTCCCCCCCCCCACACACACACCTCCCCCCCCCCCACACACACACTCTTCCCCCCCCCCCACACACACACTCTTTCCCCCCCCTCACACACTTACCCCCCCCCCCCCCCACACACTCTTTCCCCCCCCACACACTCTTTCCCCCCCCCACACACTCTTTCCCCCCCCCCACACACACTCTTCCCCCCCCACACACTCTTTCCCCAACACACCCCCCCCCCACACACTCTCCCCCCCCCCCACACACACTCTTCCCCCCCCCACACACTCTTTCCCCCCCCACACACTCTTTCCCCCCCCCCCACACTCTTTCCACCCCCACACACACTCTCCCCCCCCCCACACACTCTTTCCCCCCCCCCACACTCTTTCCCCCCCCACACACTCTTTCCCCCCCCACACACTCTTTCCCCCCCCACACACACTCTTTCCCCCCCCACACACTCTTTCCCCCCACACACACTCTTTCCCCCCCCCCACACACTCTTTCCCCCCCACACACTCTTTCCCCCCCCACACACTCTTTCCCCCCCACACACACTCTTTCCCCCCCCCCACACACTCTTTCCCCCCCCACACACTCTTCCCCCCCCACACACACTCCCCCCCCACACACACTCTCCTCCCCCCCCACACACACTCTCCCCCCCCCACACACTCTTCCCCCCCCCACACACTCTTCCCCCCCACACACTCTTCCCCCCCCCACACACTCTTCCCCCCACACACTCTTCCCCCCCCCACACACTCTTCCCCCCCACACACACACTTCCCCCCCCACACACTCTTCCCCCCCCACACACTCTTCCCCCCCCCACACACTCTTCCCCCCCCACACACACTCTTCCCCCCACACACACTCTTCCCCCCACACACACTCTTCCCCCCACACACACTCTTCCCCCACACACACTCCCCCAACACTCTCTCCCAACCACACACATTCCCCCAACACTCTCACCCACATAAACACCCCCCCCACACAAACCCCCCACACAAAACTCCCCTTTACACAAACACCACCCCTCCCCACTCTCCCCCACACACCCCAAAGACCCCACCAACCCCACAGACCCCAACACCCCCACACAAACCCTCCCCCCCCCTGCATACATCCTCGCCACACATTAGGGGAGACATGATCACTACCTATAAAATTGTCAGAGGAATTGACAGGGAAGATAAAGTGTTTAGAACGGGTGGTACGCGAACAAGGGGACGCAGGTGAAAACTTTGTACCCAAATGAGCCACAGGGACCTTAGAAAGAACTTGTTCAGTGTCAGAGTAGTTAACAGGTGGAATACATTAGGCAGTTATGTGGTGGAGGCTGACTCCATACACCGTTTCAAATGTAGATAGGATAGACCCCAGTAGGCTTAGGAATCTGTACACCAGTTGATTGACAGTTGGAAGGCGGGACCAAAGAGCCAAAGCTCAACCCCCGCAAGCACAACTAGGGCAGTACACACAGCCCTCCCAACCACCGCCTTCTTCAAAACCAAACCACTTATTTCATACCATACTCAAGGTTCACTTAACATTAATAGTGCTCAAGGGCAGTCTGATATATCAAATTGTAATGGCTTGTATAAAGTTTATTATAAATGTATTTATACTTATAAATAAATCAAACTGATTATGTTATTAGAAATTACGTTAATATTTACTCCTGCTGTTGCAGTTTGCATTCAAAACCTTGTGATGACCTTATAGGGTCGAATGAGTTTAGATAATTTTTAGCAGATACACCAGGTTGTTTTAAGTACAGATTTAGGTGACTAAATGGTACGGTAGCACATTGGTCTACGTCCTCGACTCTTAGTCGAGGGGATCTGGCTTCCTCCTCCCCCCACCCCCACCCGGGCAAGGCAGAAACGGTTGGGCACGTTTCCTTTCACCTAATGCCTCTATTCACATGGTAATATAGGTAGTGATGAGTTCGGCAACTGTTGTGGGTTGCATCCTGGGGGGAAGGTCACAAGTTGGCCTCGATAAACCAGAGTATACTGGCCGCCTGTCCGGGGACAAAAAGAATTAATTCCTTAAAAAGATCATCACTAAACACGTCCAAAAGTATTATCCTAGGAAGCACTAGATCCGATCCTAGGTGGCCAGGTTGTGTGTAGTTAGCGGAAGGCAAGATAGAAGCAAATACAGGCTCATCGACAGTAAGATATGAGTCACCGCTTTGGCATCTGGACACACTCCCTGCTCGCCTGCCTCAGTCCTGGCAGCTTCTTACTCAAAGTTTGTGAGAGATGGCACACCATGGCGTGAAATGGTATAATATTTGGTATTTAGAAGCGTGTGGGCAAGGGAAGAGGGTGGTTTAGCAAGTGGGTGGTTGCCGGCGCGAGGGATGTCATCTTGGAGTGTGTGTGAAGATATTGTGTCAAGGTTCCCCCCCTCTCCACCCCCCTCGCTCCCCCACTACACCCGCCACAACCTGGGAACACAGCCGGGCTTATATGTCACATTTATACATAACCTCCATGCGGGAGTTGTATTTCTGTGTGTAATGGATGGTTAGGCTCGCGTCTTGACACCAAATGACGGGAATAATTAACTTCTCGAGATAAAATACTAGTTGGCATGTTCAAAGTACCTGCCGTCTTACGGCGCATGCGCAGTTGACACATCTCTCTCGAATACTACTTAACATTCGGTATTGTATAGTACTAGTTAATCCCTTTACTGTCTGCCGATTAAATGCTTTAAAGTTGTTAACTAACTTCGTGTGTAGGAGACAGTAAAGATAATGAGGATAGAGCAGCACCCGTACTATACTTCAACTGGGTATGGACGCCGGACCTGTGACGTCACTGACGTGTACGAAACCAAATTCCCCACTAAATAATTCAGAAAATATTGATACCCTCCTGCCAGCTCCTTGCCCCCCTCATGCCTCTGGCAATATATATTATTTTTTTACCTACATGGCAATTAATGAGGGAAAGTTGTTAAGCGTTTAGTAATTTGGTAATTAAGATTATTATAATATTGCCCGGGTTCTTGAGTCCTTTAGACACACCCTTATATGGTAGACGTCCCAGCCAAGACTTTCTCTAGAAGGATGTTGGTGAAGGATTTTTCACCTGATTCTTTATTAAGCAAATATAATTACTCATTGTAATTGTAGTTGTGAAAAGTTGTGACTGAATTTGTCCCTACCCGCCGGGAATGCCGTTCAGTTGCTAAGC